AGTATCTTCTGCGTCAAGGGGATGCTTTGCAGGCCATCTACTTTGTATGCTCGGGCTCCATGGAAGTTCTTAAAGACAGCATGGTGCTGGCTATTCTTGGTAGGTTTGGAATGAAAACCTTCTATGAAATTTACTCTGGAGCATAAATTAAGGAGATGAAATGGGGGAAAACCTGCTAATGAGAGTAGGGAAATTACAGATGAATATGTGAACTCAGGATTATTCTTCATATGGGCTTAATTTGCCTAATTGTTATACCTAACACATCATTTGACTCATAAAAAATCCAGTGCTATAAATATTATCCCCATTTAACAAATGAATAAATAGTACCTTTGTTAATTTAACTTGCCTAAATCACACAGTTAGAAAATCAACTCAGTTCTTTTTTTATGTCTAAAGCCAAATTATGAATCATGATGTATGCTGCCTCTTAGTAAAATAGCTGCTCAGTATTAAGAGGATACTTCTGTATCTTTGTGAGGAATCAATCCAGAAATCACAAAAATTAAGCTTTATCTGTACTACAAATAGAGCAAAAATGATTACACTTCAGGAATAAGCTCTCATAGCAGTCATTAATCTTATATTTTCAAGGTAACTATAGGCCCTTTTTACTTCCTGAAAGAAAACTCATAATATAGATTGTAATTTTGTGCCACAAAGTTGACCCCAAATATTAAGACATCATTGGTCGTCATTGAAAGATAAAAGGCAGCTGACAAAAGATGGCATTGAAGGTTAATATAGAAAAATGTCTATCCACAATTTTATGTGGGCTGCTTTTAAAAACCAATCTCATCTGTTTATTTATTCAACTAATATTTAGAAAGGGCCTACGAATGAATCAGGTACTGGTCTAAACACTGAGAATGCAGCAGAAAAGAAAATGGCCAAAATCCTTGCCCTAATGGAAACTAAACTCAAGTGAAGGAAGCCATGGAGGTTTAGACCATGAGGGGTGGTAGCAGTGATGGTGAAAGGTAGGTGAATTCAGGATATACAGTCAGTCATCCCTCAGTATCCATGGCAGATGAGTTCCAGGGTCCCCCCTGAATACGAAAATTTATGTATACTCAAATTCCTATATAAAATGTCTTAGTATTTGTATGTAAACTATGCACATCCTCCAATATACTTTAAATCATTTCTAGATCACTTATAATGCCTAGTACAATGTAAATGCTCTGTAAATAGCTGTAATACTGTATTATTTATTTGTATTCTTTATTGTTCTATCGTTATTTTTATTTATTTTTTAATGTGTTTTTCATCCATGGTAGGTTGAATCCATGAATATGGACCCCCATGGATATGAAGGTCTGACTGTATTTTGAACAGCAATATAATATACCAATGCTTAGAATTTGTGCTAATAAAAAGGGGCTAATGTAGTACTTTTTGTTTATTTTAATTTTCTAAGAATCTAATATTCGAAAATAACCACTTTCAAAGTATTTTCAAAGATGGGATCTCATTTGAGCCTTCACAACAAAAAGAGACAGATAGTGGAGTTATTTTTTTTCTGTTTTCCCAAAGTCAAAGCTAGCCTAAGTCTTTCCACATCTTAACAATACCTATTATTCTATGTAAACATTGTAAGTCTGGTATCACTGTTAAGCTTCAAGACAGATTATATTTTGGAAGAGAGAAGAGAATTAATATCTATTGAATTCCTAATATGAGCTGCATGTTTTATGTTCATTATTCAATTTAAATCTCACAAGCCTATTAGGTTGGTTTGTGTCATGCTGTGAATATTTTTCTTTCCCCCCAAATTTATACATTGAAACCTAATCACCAAGCTGCATGTTTTATGTTCATTATTCAATTTAAATCTCACAAGCCTATTAGGTTGGTTTGTGTTATGCTGTGAATATTTTTCTTTCCCCCCAAATTTATACATTGAAACCTAATCACCAATGTGATGGTATTAGGAACTGGGGCCTTTGGGAGGTGATAGATCATGAGGGCAAAACCTTAATGAATAGGATTAGTGGCCTTATAAAAGAGGCACCAGGAAGCTGTCTTGCCCTTTCCATGATGTAAGAACATAACTAGAAGGTACCGTCTATGAATCAGAAAGTAGTCCCTCACCAGACACCAGCCTCCAGAACTACGAGAAATACATTTCTGTTGTTTGTGAGTCACCCAGTTTATTATATTTTGTTATAGCAGCCTGAGTGAACTAATACAGTGTGATTATCCCCAATTAATAGTGAATAGGTGGAGGTTAGTGAGTGGTGATAGACCCACGTGTTTTTCATTGTTTCCTGTTAACTTCAGATTACCATTTATTTCGAAGTTTTGGCTCAGATTTTAACTTACTCCCTTATGTTTTTCTCCTTAATAGAAAGGCATGGAATATCAACTAAAAGAGTTTACTCTCAACTTGACCAGTTCATTATCAGTGTTAGAATGAAGCTCCCTGGGAGGGGGGGGGCAGAGGGGGAGGGAGCTTCTCGAGATGAGAATTTAACACTCTTCATTTCTTCTTCTCAACTTTGTGAAGTTAAAGGGGTAGTTTTTTCTATCATTTTGTGATTCTAAATTATAATGGACAATTATTTCTATAAGTAAGGCAACACCTTTCAATAACAACCTTGAATGCAAATGAATTGATTTTCCCATTTAAAAGCTAAAGAATGGCTGAATGGATTAAAAAACAAGACCCAGTAAGAAACTCACTTCACCCATAAAGACAAACAGACTAATAATGAAGGGATGGAAAAAGATATTCCACACAAATGGAAATCAAAAGTGAGCAGGAGTAGTTATACTTATATTGGATAAAATAGACTTTAAATCAAAAAATATAAAAACAGACAAAGAAGGGAATTATATAATAATAAAGAAATCAATTTAGCAAGAGGCTATAACAATTGTAAATATATATGCACCCAACATAAATGTGCTTAGATTTATAAAGCAAAATATTAGTGGATCTAAAGGGAGAGATAGACTACAATATAGTAATAATTGGGGACTTCAACACCCCTTTCTATGTAATAGAAAGATCATCTAGACACAAAAATCAAAAAGAAACATTGAATTTAAACCACATTTTAGACCAAATGGACCTGACAGACATTTACAAAACATTTTCTCCAATGATTGCCGAACACAGAATACATATTCTTTTCATCATCACATGGAACATTCTCCAGGATAGGCCACATGGTAGGCCACAAATAAAGTCTTAACAAATTTTTTAAACAGTTGAAATCATATCAAGTATCTTTTCAGACCACCACAGAATAAAACTAGAAATCAGGAACAAGTAAAACTTTGGAAACGGTACAAATACATGGAAATTAAACAACATAACCGTGAATGACCAATGAGTTGAAGAAGAAATTAGGCAGAAAGTTAAAATATTTTTTGAAACAAATGAAAATAGAAGCACAACATACTGAAACCTGCAAAATACTGCAAATCAGTACTAAAAGGAAGGTTTATTGCAATAAGTGCTTATGTAAAAATAGTAGAAGATTTCAAATAAACAACTGAATGTTGCACCCCAAGGAACTTCCCATACTCTTATTTAATATAGTACTGGAAGTTCTAGCCAGAGCAATTAGGTAAGAAAAAGAAAGAAAGGACATTTAAATTGGAAAAGAGGAAGTCAAATTGTTCCTGTTTGCAGAAGACATGATCTTAAATATATAAAAATAAAAGTGCCACCTGAAAACTCTTCAAACTATCAACTAATTCAATAAAATAAATCCATGTGTCTACAGCTAACTGATTTTTGACAAAGGTGCCAAGAACATACATTGGAGAAAAGGCAGCCTCTTTAATAAGTGGTTCTGCAAAAACTGGAAATCCATATGCAGAAGAAAGAAACTAGACTGCTATCTCTCACCATATATCAAAATCAACTCAAAATGGACTGAAGACTTAAGTGTAAGACCTGAAACTATAAAACTACTGGAAGAAAACAGGGGAAACACTCAAAGACATGGTCTGAGCAAGAATTTTACAGGCAAGAAAAGCAAAAATAGACATATGGGATTATATCAAATGAAAAACCCTTGCACAGCAAAAGAAATAATCAACAGAGTGAAGAGGCAACCAGTAGAATGAGAGGAAATATTTGTAAACTATACATACAACAAGGGATTAATATCCAGAGTATACAAAGAATGTAAGGAACTCAACAGCAATAAAACAAATAATTCAATTTTTTTAAAAATGGGCAAGTGACATGAATAGACATTTCTCAAAAAAAAAAACATACAATGGCTAACAGCATACAAAAAAATGCAAATCAAAACCACAATGAGATGTCATCTCACCCCAATCAGAATGGCTATTATAAAAAAGACAAAAAATGATAAATGGTGGTGAGTATGCAGAGAAAAGGGAACTCATACACTGTTGGGGGAATGTACATTAGTATGGCCATTATAGAAAACAGTATGGAGATTCTTCAAAAAACTGAAAATAGAACTGCCATATGATCCAGCAATCTCACAATCCCACTGCTAGGTATTTATCCAAAGTTAAGGAAATTAGCATACCAAAGAGATATCTGCAACCACTGCAGATAATAAACATCTGTAAACGTTTATTGCAGCACTATTGACAATAGCTAAGATATGGAATCACCATAGGTGTCTATTGACAGATGAGTGAATAAGGAAAATATGGTATATATAAATAATGGAATACTAGTTGGTCCTGAAAAAGAATGAAATCTTGTTATTTGCAGCAACATGGATGAGCCTGTAAGACATTACATTAAGTGAAATAAGCCAGGCATGAAAGATAAATACTGCATGTTCTCACTCATATGTGGGAGAAAAAAAAAAAAAAAAAAATAGTCCAACTCTTAGAAGTAGGGAGTAGAATTGTGGTTACTTGAGACTGGGAAGAGCGGGGTGGGAAGAGGTGAGTTAATGGACATAAGATTACAACTAGATAGGAAAAATAAGTTATAGTGGTTTACAGTAGTCCTAGGCATCTATAGTTAACAATTTATTGTAACTTCTCAAATTGTTAGAAAAGAGAAGCTCAGATGTTCTTAGCACAAGGAAATGGTAAAGTTTTGAGATGATGAATGTGCTAATTACCCTGACTTGATCATCACAAATTGTATACATGTATTAAAATATAGCTCTATACCCCCTAAGTATGTGTAATCAATATGTGTCAATTAAAAATAAATTTCTTTAAAAAATCAGTCTTAAAACTGAAAAAAAAAATATTCATGTGGGTGTCCTTGGTCCCACTATAAGTTTTATGTTCTAATGACACAGCCTTTCAAGAGGGTATCTAGCCATTTTTTTAGAATGTATGGTTTTATATATATGCAAGCAAAAATAATTAACTATTTTAAAACAAACATAATGTTAGTTTTTTACTATAATTGCGGTGTATTTTTAAATTTGGTAACTAGCAACAGTTTTAGGAATGGAATATGAAGGGATCATTCATGACACTGGAGCAAAATAGATAAAATTTATTGACTTCTATGTAACTGCCATTGCTTATAAAACATATTTCAATTGTTTTTTCTTATTATTACAAAAATATCTACTTACTGCTGAAAGATTTAATCCATTGCCTTTTGCTTCTGGCCCCAAGTTTTTCGATAAATTGTGATTTCCATGATACATCTTTGCTTCTACCATGTATATATCAAAAGTGATTTAAGTGAAAATTGCCACATGACTATTCTAAACACCAGTATATGGTATTGAGACCAAACCCAAACAAAGATAATAAACTATTAATATTTACTCTCTGTGATTAACAGTATTTCAATAGAGATAGATTATTTTACTTTCCCTATGGTCGTATAGGGCTAATTCAAATCAATACCAACTTTGATGAACTTAAGCACCTGGCTTCACACTTGCTCTGTAGATACTTAATACTTGTTCACTCTGCCAATGAAATGAATTAATATATAATGTTGTGAGGATGAAGTATCACCAAATAGCTGTCAAGCCATAGAATTATTAAAACAACTCCATTTTCCAATCAATACATGAAGACATTCCTTAATCGGATGTCTGGAGAAGCAGTTGTTATAGAACAGGAATTTGTTATGGGGATAGTATCTGTTTGCCTTTTTCACCTCAATTTCATGATCAGGCAATTGTGTTTTCCCCACCAATTTCTTCATTGTTTTTTTAATGGAAAATGACAAGGCACAGATAAATGCTCTCTTCACAAATGGCATTAGTCTGCCTAATTATAATTAAAATTAAGTTACAGTTCTAACCTGGATGGTTTGCAGATGCATCCCATAACTTTTTTTTTTTTTTTTTTGCAAAGGAAGAATAACTAATTAGCAAAGATCTATAGTAAGATTATGAAAAATGGAGACCATAAGACACCATAGAAATCTTTCTTTTCTTTTAGAAATAAGAATATTGAGATGCAAAGTAATTAAGAAACTTAGCTCGAGGTCCTAAATCTTGACAGTGAGAAAACCACAAGACTGTAAAATTAGCATGGGTGAGAGCCATGTTGGTATTTATCAGAAACTGCTTGGGTGTTCTGGTCAAGATGTTAGAATAGACGGCCCCCAGCATCACTCTCTACCACAAATCAATGAATTTACAACTATAAAAATGTAACATCAGCCAAGCTGGGGCCTCTGGAGCTCAGGGGAAGAGAAGAGACCTACGGAGTTCATGGAGGCGGGAGAAACCAGGATGAGAGAGTGAGGCGTGGAGAAGGGGACTGGGCCCTCCTCCCACAACCAGCTACACTGCCAGCATCTTGGGAGCCTTCCTGGGGGCCCAGGGCATGGAGAATGGGACCGGACCTCCCCTCCCACAGCTGGGCACACTGCACCAGTGCCTTGGGGCCCACCTGAGGATCTGAGTTACGGGGCCAGGGATCAGACACTTCCCACCACCAGGCACACCACCAGCACCAAGGAGCATGCCAAAAACATCACCTCCATGTGGGTGGCCCACCAAAGCCACCACCATAACCATGGCTACCACAAAAGTGGCTACATGCCACAACCACCATGCAGATGGTCCACCAGCCACTGGAGTGCATTGATACAAGGAGAGTCATCAGCAGAGATAAAGAAAAGAAGAGGGTGTCTCTCTACAAAGCCCATTCCAGAGTGACAGAAGAAGCATCTGCTCTATGATAATATTGGGGGACCTGACCACACCTCTCAGCTTTGGACAGATCATCTAGGCAACAAATCAACAGAGTAACCATTATTCTTTCAGAAGGAGAGAAGAAATCTAGGGTAATTGGAGGGGGGAGGCAGAGGGGGATGGAGAGAGATTGGACAAGGAGAATAAAGAATAATTATGATTTGTAACAATATATATGCTAGTAATATTGATTTTAAAAATCCAACAATAAGACCCAGACATTAAAGAATGTGTCTAACAAAAAAAAATAAATAAAAGAGTGATACAGAAAAGAAAAAAAGGACCTGCTTGTCAGGGCTCAACACAAGGTCCAGCACACATAGTCAGTGCTCCATAAATATTCATTGAATGAATAAACTGGAATTCTTTACAGGGTGCCAGGTTTGGCAAGATGTCCGTGCTATTTTTATAGCTAGTGTTCATAGTGACTAAAATAGCCATACCATAGCAACCCAAAGTACGAAATTATGACGACCCTAAAGTTATTCCAAGCACCAGTTGCTTAACAAAGAATGTGAATGCTTGTTGTATAAGACACTGCATCATGATAAATTCTCCTCAAATATACCAAATTTGAAAATTGGTGTATTCAAGACATCCTGGCTATATATATTTTGCATCAGTACCCAACTTTGAGTTTTCAGCAATAATTTAGATTTCTACCAAAATATGCATGAAACAAAATTTTCAAGTTTATCTATACTGGTGACAGCAATAAATCCAATTTCCATACCATGTGGTTATTTATCATCTCTTAGTGTTTATAAATATAAATTTTAGTCAGGTTTTTTTTCTGTCAAAATAGGCTAAATTTTAAGGTTTAAATCCAGTATTAATTTGAAGGTAATACCTAGATGTAATTCAATAATTTTAAAACCCTCAATATTGTTGATCCATAAATAGTTATGCATATCTCAGGAATTCATGGTTAATCTAGTATGTTTCCTTTCACTGTCAAATTCAATAGAACAGACTTTTATTTTTTTATTTTTATTTATTTTTTTTCCTTTTTGTCATTTTTTCGTGACCGGCAACGGATCGCAACCCTCAGTGTCGCGCCCGTACCGGACCGGGACCGGCAATGGGATCGCAACCCTTGGTGTCGCGCCCACACCTCGCTCAGCCAGTGAGCGGCCGGTCTGTATGTGGGATCCAAACCCTCGGCGGGAGCGCCACCACACTCCCAAGCGGTGCACAGTAGCAGTGCGCCACCGGGCCGGCCCGAGAACAGACTTTTATTGAAGCCAGCTACATGCTAGGGACTTTGCTTCCACAAATGTTGGGTACAATAAAAAATAAAAATTTAGAAGTTAAAAAACTACTGAGTGGGGTGTGGGGGGCAATCTATTCTAATAACATTCCAAATATATGGTTTTCTTGGTGTTTGCTGTTATTTAATTTTTGGTAGTTGGTTCCTAATAAAATGGATACAAGTGGCGATTAAAAATATATACATTAAATCCTAGGCCTGATACTATTTGTGGACAAGCAAAGACTCAAATACTCCTAAGTTGTAGCCACGAATCTAATGCCAAGGCCCTCTGTGAACCTGGTTAAATTACTTAAGCTTTTATCTTAAATCTGTGTAAGAATTGAATAGATTTTCTTTCACATCTTTCACATGGCTGCTGGTAAATTAATGGCTGTGTCTAAAATAAACCAAAGTTGAAATCAGCTTATTGTTAGCACTTACAGTTACGCTCACCTTCGTCTTAATTCAAACTGATACAAATCAATTTAAATGTTTTAAAAATTCAAATAAATTGTCCATGATTATCTGATCAGCAACTTCAAGGAAGCAAGCTAATTCCTAGACAGGTGAATTCCAGCCTAAGATTGGTAGGCAGAGGTACTGAAGACAAAAAAAAATAAGAAGTACGGGGTGTGGGATCGGGCACAGATAAACTGAAAAGAGTAAGATCTCTCTGTGTGTTTAAAATAATGTTGATATATCTCTCTTTTTTCATTTTTCACTGTTTCTAGGGAAAGGGGATTTAATTGGAGCAAATCTATCAATTAAGGACCAAGTGATCAAGACCAATGCCGATGTGAAGGCTTTAACCTACTGTGATCTCCAGTGCATCATCCTCAAAGGACTCTTTGAAGTGCTAGACCTTTACCCAGAATATGCTCACAAATTTGTGGAAGACATTCAGCATGACCTCACATACAACCTTCGAGAAGGACATGAGAGTGATGTAAGTCTCATTTCTAATTACTGCTGAGACCTAGTAACCCTAGAGGGTATGGAAATCATTTATAACAGTAAAGGCAGATGTCATGCCCTCACTTTAAAAAGTCTGAATACATAAGGTATGATCATTCAGCCACTGGTGAGCAATTAAATAATTAGCTAGAAGCCAAACCTGCAGTCTGTTGTCAATGGATGACCTCTTAACTCAGTTTCTTTCTTGTTTATTTTCATGTACTTATAACCAGAATCAATTCCAATGGTACGTAACATTTAGCTAGAGATCTGTGATTTCTCCAGAATTAAAGATTTCCAGATAAAGTTTATGGTTCAGACTTTGCTGCATTTATAACTGTTCACTGCTCCAATTGCTTGACATGGATTTTGCTTAAAAATAATCTTTTTGTAAAACAGTACCCAAAACAGTCTATCTTAAAATGACTAAATATGCATAAAAGGATTCAAGCCAAGGATTGTCACACTTAAAGGATAATGAACATTTTATGCAATTATATATTTGCTGCATGATTCAGTTTATACAAACAGCTTTCCTATCAAAATATGTACCATGCTGCATTCTGTGATTAAGCCGATCATGAACATGACTTCATTAGATGTGTCAGAGAGACAAATGATTTAATAGGAATGATTGTTGAAAAGCAAGCCAGAGCATGCATAGTATTGTGTAACAACCAAAGCCTTAATCTACTACCTTGAGTTTTGTCCCAGCTGTTTGCAACACTCAGTTTTTTCCCCCAGGGGTTTAGGAAGCTATGATTTTGACTAATATATTTTCTGTGGACATTTTTGTTAGTCGTTGATATTCTCTGCTTTGAAAGGTATAAATAAAATTCAAATTTTGTATTCCTTCATCTTGGTTGGGGGTATCAAATGATAGTCAATAAATACATGGATGATATCCCATTATGAAATTTGTGATTACTGGTTTTGCCTATGTGCTACTCTGCATTGGTGATGGCAAACAACAGAGAAGGTACCAACATTTATTGGCTACCTATTATGTGCTAAGCATTCTACCTATATGAGGCATCCCACTTATTGCTTAAAACAAATCTTTAAGATAAGTGTCAATCCATTTCTATGGAAGAGAAAACTGAGTTTTGGAATGGCTAAGTCATGTATACATGATCACACAAACTTGTAGGTGGCTGGGACAGAGTTTGAGCATAGGTATTAGATTTTAAAGCCTACACTCTTTCTATTAAATATGTTGCCCCTTCTTCTTGAAATCATTTTCATGTGTTTCATTCAATAGATTGAGTTTTAAAACTACAGGTGTCTTTTGTGCTCTCCATGACAGCATAAAATGACAACTATTTTTGAAGATTAAACATGAGTTACAAGGTGAAAACAAACAAAAAGGGAAGAAAAATGAGGAAAGACAGAAAAATAACTAATATTCCTTTTTCTTTTCATTTAACTCATATTTTAAAGATTCTTATCTTTTTAAAATTTATGGTGTACACCGTGATGTTTTGAAACATGTATACATCGAAGAATGGCTAAATCAAGCTAATTAACATACTTATTTTCTCACATGCAATTATTTATTTGTGGCGAGAACACTTAACATCCACTCTCTTAGCTATTTTCAAGTGTGCAATACATCATTATTAACCACCATCACCATGTTGTATAACAGAGCTCTCGAACTTTTCCATCCCTTACTGAAATTTTGTATCCTTTGGCCAACATTTCCCCAATCCCCCTACACCCCTAGCCCCTGGTAGTTCTACTCTCTGCTTCCACGGGTTTGACACTTTTTAGATTCCACATATAAGTGAGATAATACAGTATTTGTTTTTCTGTGTCTGGCTTATTTCACTAAGCATAATTACCTCTGAGTTTATCCATGTTGTCACAAATGACAGGAATTTCTTCTTTTTTAAGGATGAATAATATTCCAATTTGTACATATATGCCACATTTTCTTTATCCATTCATCCATTGATGAATACATAGGTTGATTGTATATCTTAACTATTGTGAGTAATGCTGCAATGAACATGGGAGTGCATATACATCTTTTAAGATACTGATTTCAATTCCTTTGGATATATGTATGCCCAGTAGTAGGATTGCTGAATCATATGGTAGTTCTACTGTTAATTTTTTGAGAAATCTTCATACTTTTTTCCATAGAGGCTGTATTAATTTATATTCCCATGAACAGTGCAAGGATTCCCTTTTCTCCACATCCTGACCAACACTTATCTTTTGTCTTTTTTGATAATAGCTATCCTAACAGGTGTAAGGTGATATCTCATTGTGGTTTTAATTTGCATTTCTTTGATGACTAGTGATGTTGAACACCTTTTCATATACCTGTTGGCCTTTCTTTTGTCTTCTGTTAAGAAATGTCTATTCAACTTCTTTGCCTGTTTTTAAATCAGGTTATTTGTTTTCTTGCTATTGAGTTGTTTGATTTCCTTATGTATTTTGGATATTAATCCCTTAGTAGACATATAGTTTGCAAACTCTTTCCCATTCTGTAGGTTGTCTCTTCACTCTGTTTCTTTTGCTGTGCAGAGTTTTTCAGTTCGATGTGATCCAACATGTCTAGTTTTGCTTCTGCTGCATGTGCTTTTGGAGTTATATCACCCCAAAAATCATTGCCCAGACCAGTGTCATAGAGCTTTCTCTCTATATTTTCTTCTAAAGTTATAATTTTAGGTCTTACATTTAAATCTTTTATATATTTCGAGTTGATTTTTGTATATAGTATGACATAGAATTTAATTATTTTCTTCTGAATGTGGATTGGGGATCTTTACCATTGATAAAAATTTTTTATCTTTTTTTCTATTTGCTGGAAAATTAATTATAGCAATTTTAAATCCTTATGGGATAACTCCCATATCTGAATTATCTGTGGAACTATTTTCATTGCTATCTCTCTCTCTTTCTCTGTCATTTGGTCTTTTTCTTTTTCTTAAGGCAGGTGTCATAATTTTGTTTAAATATATATGTTGCTTATGAGGATTGTTAATGTCATCTTCCTCTAAGTAGGATAAGGTTTTCTTTTGGGAGATAGATGGAGTATTGGCAAATCACTCTTATCCTGTCTGTAGTTCGTCTTAGGCTTTGTTAGGCTGGTCTGTTTCTGTTTTGCCATTAGTCCTGAGGTGAAGACCTCACTCCTAAAACACAGTTTTTCTTGAGTCTCATTTAAAATCCTAGTATGTTTACCAAGGCCCCTCCTATCTGGCAGGACTTGAATTCCAGCCTTTGTCTTGTCAACACCACGTGGTTGCTGAAATCCCTGTTCTGCCGTTCAACCTCCCAGCTGCTTTTTCCATCTAAGTTTCTTGGAGTACTACACTTTGCACACTCAAGTTAGGAGCTGGCTAATGCTGCAAGGGGAACATCAATGCAATTATCTTCTCTCTGGGATTTTACTCCACAATCCCATGTGCTTTGGTTCACGTGAACTTCATCCTCTGTCTCCTCAGCCAGTGGGACCACCTCTTTCTAGTCTACTCTATTCTACCTCAAAAGGAAACAGCAAATGTCTTCAGAAGAATACCTGGCTAAATGAAGTGCTAGCATTGGTGTGCTTTCCTTTTCTCAGGGATCACAGTCCTTCAAGTCTTACCTGAGTTGATTGTTCTCAAATGCCTTCAAGCAGTTATTTTGTGTATTTTGTCCAGCTTTATAATTACTTTTGACTTGAGGGTTAGTTCAATATAAGCTACTTTGTTATGGCTAGACCCAAAAGCATTGCTTCTTTTCAAAGGGAGCCCCTATGAGCTACATTTTTAAGGGCACGTGGGAACTGAAGTTTACCTCTGAGACAGAAGTTTTGTATTCCCTAACCCTTTATTACTCAAAACTTCCCTTTACATATACAGCAGATCCAAGATCTTGAGATACTATGCCTTCTAGGGGCTAGACAAGTTTGGGCCACTCTTCCCCATAATTCCATACTGTAGGGGAAAAAAGCCTTGTGTCCTCCCAAAGCATACTATAATTTTGGGGGGAACTTATCTTCTGATGATTACCTATGGTTATGAATTCCTGCTCTCTGCTCTACGACTCTGCTCTGGTGTCAGACCAAATGTGAAACCACACCGCTTTCCTTAGTTTTCATGCACACAAACATAAATATCCAACCATACAGGGTTTTCTGATGAGTTGAAGCCTTTGAAGAAAGTTGGGTGATGGATTTTGGAAGGAGGGACATTTACATAGTGGAAATGCAAACAACATAAATGAAACTTATCTACATATTCTTATTCTTAAAAATTATGTGCCGCTCTGCCATGTTGATCAGTCATTTATTATTGCTCTGACTTCTCTCCTGTTCTGTTACACTGCTCTCTCTTCCCCAAAGTCCCTATTATTTTTGATATACATTAGCTTACTCTCTTTGATTGCCTTGTATCTTTCCAATTTTGCCCTCTGAATGTCACCTTTTACCCCAAGTAGCTTATAAAATATCAGGTGGTATAGAGACTTACCAGACTATCCAGATAAAGAGAAGAATGACAGTCAACCCATTTTAAAATAAAGACTAAAAAGCTCTTTAGTAAATAATCAAAATTTAGAAAGAATATGCATGCAGCAGTCAGGTTATGACTCCTAGAACTGTGATCAATTATACAACTTTAGAATGACAGCTTCTCCAATTCTCATAGGGAAATTTATTAAAATCTGTGAAATATTTTATAGGTTGGAGAGGCCTGCTAGCACTGTTTTGACCTCACACTAATTATGAATGTTTTACAATCAGTGTGTTTTCTGTATTTGCATTTACTGATATCTTCTAAATGGACCTAATAATGACAGATTAATTTAGCTATTTCTGTCTATGCAGATTATGAGAAATCCACTTCACTGCTTCTCATGATAAACTCTATAAATTTAATTTTAGCACAAACTCATCTGTTAGTTTTGAAACAGGTTGCCTTCACATAAGAATTTTGGATTTGTGATAAACAAATAAAATGATTGAAGAATATCCAAAATATCTGTTTTCAAAAACTAATAATGCTAACACATTGAAAATCAGGT